CGCCCGCCCAACTGACCGCCCGCCCGCCCGCTCACGTGATAACATAATACGTCCCGTACTTCGACGGGCGTATAAAAAATAGTGTATTAATTACTTTATTTGATATGCTTAACGTTTTCAATTTATATTTTTCAAATTATTTGGTCCTATATACCTATGGATGTATTGTAATGATAAATAGGAGCTAGCAGCAGCAGTAAAACAATCAAGGTGACAAACCACCTTACTTAAGGTGGTATGCTACTTCATGATGTATTAAACATACTTAAGGGAGATAACTCTAACACAAATCAAGAATAATCACATAGACAGTAACTTTTGTGTAGCCATCTTCTTCTATATACAAACCTTTCTTCAGCTGTCCTGAGGTGGGAGGATGTACTTCTGTAGGACCTAGAAAAGAGAAGAAAAATAATCTATTACACAAACCAGAAACACAACCCTTCAAGATGTCATTATGTCTCCAACAGTAGTTAATGTTCTGGTGATAATAAGAGAGACAAATATGGTCTGTTAACAGATATTCTGCAACCACACTTTAATGACACAAGTTTTTAAGTTATTTGGGCTTAAAAAGATGAGACAGGTGTATGAAATACTTTTTAAAGTGAAGCTATTAGGACTACAAATATTTAAAAAAAAAACTTTCTTAAAATGGCTTTTACATTCAGAGCTCACATAATTGAGCTATCAATAATGATGACATTACTGGCCATAAAAATCACAATGATTGCCTTCCTAAACATTTCCGATGACATCATTTCCCAACATTCTGCCTATCATATGCCATGCAGCATATCCCTTTATTGTATTACAAAGTGTCATACATGTACTTACGACCGTTCTTGTGCAATATCTTCTAATAAAAATGTCACAAGACAAAACTACATTCATACTTTATTATACAAGAAAGTTGAATTATTTCTTGGACATGATGAAACTGGAAAAACACTACAGTCTACTTTACCAGCCATAGCAGTAAGACAAGGTGGTCCAATATTGTCTTTACTGTTTTATTATAAACTCTGTATTGGGGTTAATTGTCTCCCTTTGCCCATATTCCAAATCTTCATAATAAAAAGTTGAAAAAACAAAGGGTCATAACTCTGTAAATAAAGGGAATGAGACCCACTGTTAGATACATTGTACATAAGAAAATATGAGAAATTGATGTTCAAGATTAATCTTATCCAAAACGAACAAAGGGCTTTAAAAAACTTTGTGTAAAGTGGAGTTCAAGACCTATTTCAGTAAGCAACACTCTGCAACTACCCACACACAAGTCCAGAAAGTTTGGGGAGTCAGTGTAAGTGGAATAGCAAGTGAGTTATGGTCCTGATAAAAAATGGTTGGTGCCCAGCCAGCCTTCCTCCCAGCCAGACAAAGCCATAAATATGTCCCAGCATAAATGGGAGCATATAATGAAATCCAACAAATATTACCTATTCTTTATATATATTACATGAAGCCCAATAAAATATCAAGTAACCATACAATAAAATATCAAGTAACCATACAATAAAATATCAAGTAACCATACAATAACAGTATCAAGTAACCATACAATAACAGTATCAAGTA